CCAAAGCCAAAAGGTTTTAGGGGTTTCCCCCAGGAAACAGTTCATATCAGCATTTATAGATAAATTCATTCACTCAAGTATTTGACACTTTTTTAATTAAACCACAAGAATGAACATATATCAGGACAGAGTACGTGAAAGAAAAGCTGTAAGATTTTGGTATTAGATGACTTTGTGAGCACCTTTCTGAACCCTCAGCCTTGACATTAGTTTTTGTTCATTTTTGTTTTCTCAAAGCCAGAAACGACCAGAATTGGATGAGAGACTCCATGAAAAGAAGCTGTCACGTGACATGTCTGAGTTAAAACAGCTTTTGTGTTTGTTTTTCGGAGGAGAAATCCACAAAAGCTTCCGAAGTAAAGAGCCGGTCTCGTTGTCAGCTGCCGGAAACACCCAGAGAGCGAGCGGTTACAGGCGTGAACCCAGGCCAGCCTCCGCAGTGTCTCTGAGCACCGCCTGCTGTGGAAACCAGGGCACTTATTAAGGTTAACCATTCATCTCCGTGTCCTCCTTTGTGCCTCAGCCTCATTCCCTCAGCTTGGTTTACTCGTGTGTCCTCAGTTGTTTTCATTTTTTCTGAATAAAAGCTGCCCTCGGGACATAAAGGAGCCATCTCTGGTTCCACAGGCGATTTTAGTGATTTTGAAAGTGATGTGGGTGGGTGTGGCCTTCCTGCGCTGGTTAGAGACCTGGCTGCTTCATTGTATATCTTTACTTTATGATCAGACTGCACATAGTTTATCATTGATGGTAAATCTATTATTACTTTAAGTATATCCTGTCAGAAGCAAAGAAAGATTTTAGCAACAAGTTTAACCCTGGAGCAGTGGTTCTTAACCTTGTTGGAGGTGCTGAACCGCCCCAGTTTCATATGAACCCCTCTTCAGTGACAAATAAAATACGATTTTTTTTTTCAAATTCAAGACATACATATGTTTTTTACTGGTGTACAAAATGAGCCGAGCATGTCATGGCAGAGGCTCTGCCGAACCCCTGAGACCGACTCACCGAACCCCTAGGGTTCGATCGCACCCAGGTTAAGGACCACTGCCCTGGAGGTTTACCTACCCCCAGTAAAACCAGTACAGAACTGCCAACCAGAAGCTGCAGTTCCTATAGTGGCCACTCAGTCCCAGTAAACTCACATGTTAAAAAGCTCCAGTTCAGAGCAGAAATAAACATGTTTACAGGCTACAGGCTACTAAAGATGGTTTTGGTCTCTATAGCTAATTTTACCCAACTAGGCGAGTTTTTAGCGAACTCGACTGATCCAGTTCTGCTGAACTGTAATGTTTGGGTGCTTTGAGGTGGATACCCGCTAGGCCTGGAGGTAACACTGTGCTAAATATACAAAATTCTAGTATTTTATTTATACATTACTTCAAAATAACTAGTTCCAGGGACGCAGCACCACATTTGACAGCTAGCTGTTGAAGCTGCCATCAAAATGACTGGGGATAGAAAGAGTTTTACAATGTCTGCCTGTAAAAAAAAACTAATGAAATAAAACTTTGGTTTTACTAAAAATAAATAAAAAGCCACATGTTGTAAGGGTTCTCCACCAACAGGAAATTAAATTAGACCTGTTGTCTTCCACATGTCTAAGTGGTCAAAGTACTCAACCCTGATGGACTTGTCTGAGTGTTAATAGCATAGAATAAAAAGAGTAAAAAGCATTTTACTGAGAAAATCATGGCGCTCTGAACTTCACACATCGATGCTAAAAAAAAGAAAGAAACCATGAGAGCGTGGTAAAAAGGACAGCGAGTACTCAAATACTTCGGTGCAGCAATAAACCGGAGCATCTGAGGTTCGATTCAATAAAAGTACAGACTCAATGCTTAAATAAATACCTGCAGCTTAAACTTTATGTTCATTGTGTCATTGCTCTTAAAATTAGGCCAGTTTTAAATTTCAGCTACAAGTTGTTTTTCTTCCCAGGCGTATAATTCGTTTTTGTAATATTGTGTATGGAGACAGTCTCATGAGATGTTTTCATAGAATAAAATCATTGTCGTGCAGTAAAATGTGCTAATAAAAAGTAGGCTGCCCTTTGTGAAGCCTGGCTGCCTCCTCAGTGTTAGATTACTGCATTGTTGAACATCATGCTGAGTAAATTATTACAACTTCATCAATATGTGGCGGCTGCGGTACTTGTTTGTACTTAATTATTTGAACCTAATGATAAAATAGAAGTTAGTCAGAAATAATAGACACATAATTCATTTGTGCCACACAGCTTTTGGTTTACAATCACAGACAAAGTTTACAGGATTCATTTTTAAAGAGGTGGCAAAAACTAGACGATGGGTGTTCTGAGAAATCAGAAAAATGAGAAAACCTTTGTGGATCTAACAGAAAATGATATAAAATCCAAAGGAACAACAGTGGCCAGACCTCCTGCTTCCATAAACCTGAACCTGGAGGTGCGTGTCTGCCCAGCAACATTGAAGCATGAACGACTAATCTAGTCAATAATCTGATAATGGTAAAGAGTGGATGAAACCACTGCCAGGTGGTCACAGGGACGATAAAGCACCTGCTGTTGCATCAATATGACAACACAGTTTTGCTCCTGACTTGTTCCTCACTCATTCAAACACGAGTTGCACAGATACACATCAATGGTTTGATTCTAAGAAAACTAAACAGACTCATTTTCTTTAGTCTTTCATGTTGTTTAGTGTTTTTATGTCACTATTGGTGTGATTGCTTCAGCTAGAGGTGTGGAAAGAAATATTAAATATTAAATGTGTTTTTTAAAGGTTGAGAGAAAATGGAGGGTGGAGAAAGATGGCACGATAAACAGAGAATCATCTCTTCTTTCTGTATCATGTCGCAGGCAGAACGCCCAGTTCTTCTTCACAATAGACATCCCTGCTGTAGCTGCCCTCCTCCCCGTGTTTCCAGCCTTTGTCTGCAGGTGAGACTGAACCTGAAAGATGTTTTGTTTTGGCCGAGGCTTATAAATGCATCAAAGCCTCTTCCAGCTAGCTCATCTTCCCGAATCTGCTTCTCCAGAAGATGCAGCACAGCTCGGATGTGGCGGTGAGTCTCTCCAAAGCATCTCAGAGGATTTTATTTTCACGTCTGAGAGCAATTTAGGTTATTTTTTAAATGTATGCATCAAAAAAGACTAAAACTTTCAAAATTCAACTGCATGTTTCATCGAGACTGAAAACTTTTTATACAAAGTGACAGTAAAAATTGTGTTTTTAAAACATTTTAATGTTTTTAGTTCACAAATCTTTTGTCAGACTTGAATGATTATTTAAAACTGATTTTATGAAACAGACCAGGATGTGTCTGTGAGGGCATCGTGTTGAGTGTCCAGTTTTTTGTTAGCGTTTGTCACATAGGACACTTATGCTTTTATATCTGTGTGGTGTGCCACAGGGGCCAGCTCTGGGATCGAGTTCATGCTCTCCTCGTCTCCACTCGGGGCATAAATGTCACAGACACAGCGTCTCTTAGCGTTTCTGTGCTGATGACACATGCATGTACCTAAACACTCCAACACTGGCATGTTGGCTTCTCTTAATAGCTGCCTTTTTACAACAGCATCATTTTATTTAGTTGATCTAAAAACAGAAATCATCAGTTGTGAAACTGTTAACAATCAGCTGGTTCTCTCATTATCAAGTCTTTTGCAAAGAGTTTTCCATTTCTTGAATATTTATTTCTTGCATTTTGAACAGCGCAGCTCAAATCTAATGCAGTCGTGTTTAAATAGCTTCAGAAGCAAATCTTATTTAATCTTTTTTTGAAAACGAGACTATTTTGTGCACTTTTATCTCATCGGGTCTGAATTTAACGGCCTGTTTACTACTGAACATGAAATCCACTGAACACAGTACAGAGCTGGACAGATGCGATCACATCAGTCCTGTTTTAGTATCTTTACACTCTCAGGATGTTTGACAACAGATTTTACATTTCTGACCTCTAAGTACCAAATGCATCTTCTTCCTTCTTCCTTCTCCAGATGCTGACGAGGTTGCTCGGACTGCTGGTCTTGTCCACCCTCTGCTCAGCCATGTGGGTGCAAAACTACACCAGACAATACATTAGTGAAGAGGAAGGCTCCACATATGACCCCAACACCCACCACTGGCCTGAATCAGTTGACAGGCAGTTTAATGAGACTTCTAAGAAGCCTGATCACCCAACGGGAATCCCATCGTGGCCACCCGAGGCACGCAGCGGGCCTCTTATGATGCCTCCAACAGGACCCCCATTTCCACTCTATGGCAACAACTCTGAAGGTCCCAACATGCCCAGGGTGTTTGGGGTCAGTAACCCACCTTTACCACCCATGCCTGACACAACAATCTGTGACATGCTGCTAAATGCACCGGTACCCCCGCCCGCCGACCAGATTCCATTTTTTTGCATCTGTCAATACTGCAAAGGAACCGTAGGACCCAAAGGAGACCGTGGAGACCGAGGTCTTCCAGGTAACCTGATCACTTAAAGCACCTCAAACTAAAAACAACGATTAAAATGTAAAACTTCAAAATCATTAATGTCTGAACGAATGTCAAGAATTTAAAGTTTGAAGCAAGGCAGACAGCAAGGTTTGGAGGATGATTCCTCTTTAGTGATTTAATTCAAATTCAAATATCTGATTATATTGAAAGTAACCTGTCTTTAACTTTTGATCAGGTCCTCCCGGGAGCGCTGGAAGTAGAGGATTGATGGGGTTTCCAGGTCCCAGAGGGTTTACAGGCTCTCAGGGGATAAAAGGTGAGTTACACACCAGAGGGGTGTGTGAAGAAGCACATTTACAATAATCAGGGTCTTTAACATAAAGGTGTTTTTTTTACTTTCCACACTGAACTAATCAAACCGAGTTGCAACACAAAGCAACGCTGAAATTAAGAAGGGAAGAAAATGAGACACTGACTTCCTGTGATTTGAATTTATGCTTCTTCTCCTCACGTACTTTTCAAACGATACTGAATGAAATCCACCTTAAAACACCACAAACTGAATCTCATTGTTTTCTTTTTTGTTCCTCTAACCTGTTGTCATCTTTAAATGTATCTTTCAAAAAAAGCTAATAAGCTTAAGCTTAGAATTGTTGGTTTTTCACTCAATAAAATATCAACTCACCTTTGTCTTCTCTGTTTACAGGCCAGAAGGGAGAAATGGGGGAAAAGGGAATGCAAGGTGCAGCAGGTTTCACTGGCACAAAGGGAGATCGAGGATTTAAAGGTGGGTCTAGATGGCATTATGGAGAAGGTCACCCTATTTAAAGCGTGATTGGTAATACATGGATATTATTAAAGCAGGAAATAATACCTGTCAGTGCTTTGTGTGAATGTAATTTTATGATGGTTTAATGATTTAACATTAGTACAGGGTGGGTAAGGTTTGGGTTCAGGCATAAAAATGAGATGATTTGAGTGAAAGATTGTAATTTCAAAGTGCATCCTGGAAAGATCCAGATGGAGTCTGGGCAAACTGGCCAGCTTCATCAGTCTACATACAGAAAATGGAGAGAAATGTGGGGATTCTTTAGGATTTAACCCACCTGAGTAAATACTGTTGGAAATTGTTTAGCCAAATAAAGTGTTAAACTTGATCGTATTCTTGATGTATGCTGTGGCTGTTTCCAGGGGACAAAGGGGACCAAGGATCAATGGGACCCCCTGGTGCATCGGGCCCTCAGGGGGAATCTGGTATATGCCCTGCCACCTGCGAGAGTGTGCCAGGTGCACCTGGTACTCAAGGACCACCTGGACCAGCTGGAGCCCGTGGCCTGCCAGGGGTGCAGGGTCCTGATGGACCCAGGGGCATAAAAGGTGATAGGGGTGACATGGGTTTGCCTGGAAACCCTGGCAGCGATGGTGAGAAGGGTGTTCGAGGTGAGCAGGGGGTGTGTAAGTGCACAAATGGAACAAATGGTGCTGATGGCAAACCAGGGCAAAAGGGAGACAAGGGGGACAAGGGTGATATTGGGTCCCAGGGTATACAGGGCACCATGGGGTTAAAAGGCAACCAGGGTGATATGGGTCTCATGGGGCCACCTGGGCCCTGCTCTCCAGCCATCCAGTCAGCATTCTCCGCCTGTATCAACGAGTCATTTCCAGCTCACAACTTTCCCATTCCTTTCCCACACATCCTTACCAACCAGCAAAACCATCTTAACCGAAACGGCATCTACACAGCCCCTGTCAACGGCACCTACGTCTTCTCCTTTCACGTGTCAGTTGCTGTGAAACCGCTTAAAGTCGGCCTGTTCCGCAATTTCTACCCTGTGGCTAAAATAACAGAAGGAACCATCCCATCCACCACAAGCCACACGGTGGTCCTCAACCTCTACATGGGAGACCAGGTTTGGCTGCAGGTGAAGGACCCCACCACCAATGGCATGTACACTGATACTGAAAGCACTAGCACGTTCTCTGGGTATCTGCTGCACCCCGACTCCTGCGAATTTCCTCTGGGCAGAAATCACTACTTCCCACAGCCACATCATGGACGCTACACCTGGGATGGTCCCGACCCTACCACCACTCCACCAAATTAGTTTCTTTTCAGTTGCACAGTTATAGATGAGGCACAACAAGCATCCAATCAAATTCTCAGTGATTTTATAACTGCAAGTTTTAAAGGAGGGGTATTCTAGCAATGAAGCAATGACAATTGTTAAAATAGTTTTTTCTACCAGAGTTATGCTGAATACAAGTTCTACTGTAGGACCACACTGTAGTTACTACTCAATTAAAAAAAAAAATCAGGTTTTATTTCTTGGGTTAAATCTAATTCTGTTTGGTTGTTGAAGCTGGCATCACATAAAAGGAAAGGCCAGCAAAAAAACCCAACAATAAACACACAAAATCCTTCTTGAAGTATTTGTCAACACTTAGCATGTTAGCATATCCAGGCAATTATTGTCAAACGATGTCTAAATGAACCTTAATTCCAACTCTTCCTGGGACAATAAAAACAAGTCAAATGAAATAAAAAAGCGTTACAATGTTGCAGAATACTAATTTAAAAACGTTTTCACCTGGAAGTCATGTGTCTAACAAACATTCTCCTGGCTGCAAACATCTCTCGTCTCTTATGTCCCACTTAGATGAGACAAAAATAAACCCCCCCTAAAATCAAGTCCTGTTTTACTGGTAATGCTAGTGGCTTCAAGTACTGGTTCCAACTAAAATATCTTCAATCACTATTTGAATGATTTGTGCTTACTGACTTTGACGAACCTCTCAGTTATCTGTCTTCTTGCAACAGTTTAAAGACAGGATGTGTATTCCCTGTGACAGATTGGAGGCCTGTCCAGGATGCATCCTGCCTCACACCCAGTGACCGCTGGGATCAGCTGACAATTGGAAAAAAGAAAGAAAATTGAACAGCCATAATACCCTCCTTTTAAATGTGGCTATGATTCAACACTCATATGAAAATGCATCTGGGCTTGTATATGCCAGCATTTGATCATGCACTAATCAACTGTTAGAGCGCCCTTTTATCGGAAAGCTCATTTAGCAGCAGAGGTTTTAATATTTTTGATAGAAAATGTAAATACGTGGATCAGCTGCAGGTGATGGAATAACGTCACCACAGGTCTGTTGAGACGGAGGTTTAAAAAGTTTACAGTGACGGAGCGGGAACAGAGCTGCGACGCAAACGAGACGTCGAGAAATGAAGAAGGCTGAAGACACGGCAATGAGACGTGCCGGCAAATTCTCCACAAAATCAGTGAAATTCTCTTCAGGTTCATCAAGTAAAAGAATCATAATCTCCACAGATCTCCACAGTACACATAAATATTTTAAAAGACATAAAGAGTGAGAACACGTGCCATTATTTTCTTAATGTTTTCTTAATTTTGAAGAAAATCTCATTTTGAATGTAGGATAACTGATTAAAGGCTTTTCTCGCTATTTTTAAGGTTTTATTTTTTTATTATATGATTTAAAACAAAAGTTGTACAATGAAGCTACCTGTGAAACTATCACCGCCTGATGTCTCGCAACATTAAACTTCCACTTTGTAAAAGGTATAATCTGTAAAACCTGCGACACCATCAGGTGATGTTGGACGTGTGTTTGGGCTCAGACAGTAAACGGAGTGTGTTGCATGTGTAACAGGTTAAAGCATCGTTCACCTTCTCTGAGGTGTTTTCAGCGTCCACACCGTGTCGCCTGTTTGTGCTTCAGGTTGTTGCGATCTGTGAATCGTGGGCTTTGTTTGAAATTAAAAACTTTCACCTAAACTTTGTGTTTGAGTTATTTTCAGCAGCATTTTCTGGGTCCCCTGGTCCAAAAATTAACTTGTGACATGAAGCTCGTGTGCAGAGCAAAACCAGACATTGAGCCCGGCTGCTCCCAACAAACTCTAAACTTTAACACACTGCAGTTTATTCTGATTCAGCACTTACTGCAAATTCATCTGCTAATAAAAAATCTCCAACGATGATCATTTTTCACTTAAGGTGATTGTAAAATATGGATTGTTACAAAAAGAACACAACATTTTGTTTAGCTGTGCATTTCATGACACTCA